CCACCCCACGGGCGTCAGCATCCAGCTCCACTCCCGGCAGCATCTCCACTGGGATGCCCGGTGTCCCCAGGGAGATGCCTGCTGTCCCCAGGGTGATGCCCTGGCACTCACCGTGCTGCCACTCATGTCTTTGTGCCGGCCTCAGTGCACAGCGATCGCTGGCGTCCCGTGAGCACCTGCAAGGCGCATCTGTCACCCCCAGCGCTGGCCCCTCACCACTGTGCTTGGGCTCCCGTCCCCAGACTGGTGGGGATACGGGATGAGCCACTGGGCAGCCTGGCTCAGCTGTGCCGGAGCAGAGCCCTGTGGGGCGGGTGCCCAGCCAGATTCCCACGCCCCCCTTTCAAGGGGAAAACAAACCCCCAGCACTGGTGCGGGGAAGGGAAATGCTGTGGGCAGAGGCTGGGTGAGCTCTGCAGCACCGATGAGCCAAACCCAACCGCGGCTCGTGCTGGGGAGATCCCCGGGGCGAGTTGCACGCCCAGGATGGATTATCCCCCGCTGGCAGGGCTGAAGCTGCTCAAACCCACAGGGTCAGGGAGGGTAAACCTGCCGCTCGTGCAGTGAAATCCCATTAAAACAACCGGCTTGGACTGGGGGGAGAGGAACTGAGACCTGTGCAATTCAGCTCATGCATGGGCTCTGCCGGCTCCAGCTCTGGACCTGCTCTAACCCCCACTCGCCCAGGCTCACGGAAATGGACTGACCCAATTTCTTTTTTAAAGTCCTCGCTAGTGAGTCACGGCCGCTCCTGAATACTCGGAGCAATTGGAAATTAAAAAAAAATTGAAGCCTCTTTACTAATTGCCCTGGCAGGAGCAGGGATGGAAAATTACACAGCAGCCAGGGTTCAACCCCTGGGGGGACTGGGGACCCCGAGGGGCTCTGAGGGCCGATGTTGATGGCTGGGAAGGTGCCAACCCACCCGGGGAGCCCAGGCACGTCGGGGCAAAGCGGCCTCGCAGGGAACAGGCTGGGGAGCGGCGTCGGGACCCTCGCTCCTGCCGCTGCACCCCGCTTTGCTC